ATCTACAAAGAGCTGATGAGACACAACAAAAACAAAGAAAATAATCCAGTCAAAAAATGGGCAGAAGAGCTAAAAAGAAACTTCTCCAACAAGGAAATGCAAATGGCCAACAGGCATAAGAAAAGATGCTCAACATCACTTGTAATCAGGGAAATGCAAATCAAAACTACAATGAGATACCATCTTACACCAGTGAGAATTGCACATATTAAAAAAACTAGCAACAACAAATGTTGGCGAGGATGTGGAGAAAAAGGAACTCTCCTGCACTGCTGGTGGGAGTGCAAACTGGTCCAATCACTATGGAGAGCTGTGTGGAGATTCCTCAACCTACTAAAGATAAATCTTCCATATAATCCAGCAATTCCACTCCTAGGTATTTACCCAAAGGACACAGAAACATTAATTCAAAAGGGCACCTGCACCCCTATGTTTATAGCAGTACTATTTACAATAGCTAAGCTATGGAAACAACCCAAATGCCCAAAAATAGATGACTGGATTAAGAAGACATGGTACATATACACAATGGAATATTACTCAGCAATCAAAAAAGATAAACTCATGCAATTTGTAGCAACATGGATGGAGCTGGCAGGGATCATGCTCAGCGAAATAAACCAGAAGGAAAAAGAAAAATACCGGATGGTCTCCCTTATAGCAGTAATTTAGAAAACCTAAATAAGGGACCAGGAAAAAGACTAATTACAATAAAGAAAAAATCAAAATCAACAAGCAACTATAAACCAGAGACATACTACGGGAGGGGGAGAGAGGAAGGATTAGGGTCAAAATAAGGGGGGTGGAATTGTATGGGGAATATAACCAAAATGAAAATGCATACATTGTGCAAAAATGAAAATGAAAAATGATGTAAAAATTATACAAAATAAAATATATTAAAAAATTTAAAAAAGAGTATCCTTTAAATCTTTGCTAATATGGTAGGTGATGTTGTCTCATTTTTGCCTACTTGCAATTACTTGATTTCTTAGAAGAATTGCATTTGTGGGCCAACAGGCATATGAAAAAATGTTCAACATCACTCATAATTGGGGAAATGCAAATCAAAACCACAATGAGATATCAGCTTACACCAGTGAGATGGCACATAATATTGAAAAAAAAAAACTAGCAATAACAAATATTGGCAAGGATGTGAAGGAAAAGGAACTCTCCTATGCTGCTGGTGGGAGTGCAAACTGGTCCAGCCACTATGGAAAGATGTATAGAGGTTCCTCAAATTGTTAAAAATGGAGCTTCCATCTGATCCAGCAATTCCACTCCTAAAAATCTACCCAAAGGACACAAAAACATTAATTCAAAAGGACACCTGCACCCCTATGTTTATTGCAGCACTGTTTACAATAAGTAAGCTATGGAAATGACTGAAATGCCCCAAAATAAATGACTGGATCAAGAAGATGTGGCATATATATTATACACAATGGATTATTACTCAGCAATAAAAAAAAAGATAAACTCATGCTATCCGCAGCAACATGCCTGGAGCTGGAAGGGATCATGCTCAGTGAAATAAGCCAGAAAGGAAAAGAAAAATGCCGGATGGTTTCACTTACAGGAGGAATGTAGGGGATCTAAATAAGGCATCGGAGAAAAAAGTGATTATAATAAAGTAAAAATTAAAATCAACAGGCAACTATAAACCAGAGACATTTTACAGGGGGAGGAGGAGGAAGTTGTATCAAAACAGGGGAAGGAAGAGCACAAGGGACTATGGTGATGGTACATGGGTGAATTGGTGGTGGGAATTTCACGGGGAATAAGATCTTCAAAATTTCCTTCATGTAGAAAATTGTAATTAAAAAAGTGACCTCTGGGGAAAAAAAAAGAAGAATTGGATTTGCAATGTTTCTTAGACTTTGGTTTCAACCTGCTCATCAATGATCTCTGTTTATTTTCCTATTGGAGGTCTCGATCTTTTTCTTACCAATATAAGCATTGTCTTCAGACAATTTATTCTTTATCTTTGATAACTGTTATTTTCCCATTACATTTGCCTTTCATTGTAAAATACTTCTGATGTACAGAAGGTTTTTTTTTTAATATATAGTCAAGTCTGTTGTTATTTATTTTATCAATTTTATGCCTAGAACATCCTTTTCCATTTAGAGGTAAGCACTGACTTAAAAATTTCTTCTAATTTCAATTTGATTTGATTTTTTTTCTCCCTTACCATATGTCACCTTGATATATGGTATGAAGGGATGTTTGAAACTGTTTATTTTTCCCAAAGTACAAGCTGTTTTTCCCAACAGTATTTATTCAATCACCTGCCTCTTACCATGTGAAATGCCTTAACTCCTATATTATATTAAGGGCCCTTATCTGGGTTATCTGGGCTGTGAATCTCTCTCTTCTTTTCTACTAACTGTCTTGGTTAGTAATGATTTATGAAGGCCTAATATATGGTAAAACAGTCCTTCCTCCCTCCACTCAACTCTACCATAATTCATCACAATTTTCTCACCTGTATGTGTTTTTCAAATGATCTTAAATTTTATTTTGTCAACTTCCCCATGCCTGAAAAATATCAGAGCTTGAAGAAAAATTAAACCTATGAATTAACACGGGAAGAAGTGATATCTTTATGGTTTTCTCATTTTCCTTTTGTATTAGGGCTTTTCCTGCCTGTGCTGAGTTTTGTTTGGGAGAAGGAGGAGGGCCCTTTGGGCTCTGGGCTTTCTGGCAAGAGCTTTCAGGAGGCAGGGGGTGGGGCAGAGGAAGACCCCCGCTGGCTTTGAGAGCTTTCTGAAGGAGCTGCTCTATGAGATGAGATCCATGCAGCAATTATTCAACAAATTTACAGTCCAAATGAACATTTTCATCTGAACTAATTTTGTAAATTGGGCCAAAATGAATATGAGAAATAGAATGTAGAAAGTAGCAATATTGTGGCCTAATTACCAAAAAAAAAAGACAAGACAAGACAAGACAAGAAAAAAGAAAAGAAAAGAAAAGAAAAGAAAAGAAAAGAAAAGAAAAGAAAAGAAAAGAAAAGAAAAGAAAAGAAAAGAAAAGAAAAGAAAAGAAAAGAAAAGAAAAGTAAAACACCCCAGAAATCCTAACCTCAGTTCCGGCTGCTCTCCAGCTGCATAACCAAAGACATCACTTCCCTTCTCCACAAGCCTGGGTTTTGCATCTGTGCAGTGAGTGGGTTGGACTAAATAGTTCTGAGATCCTTTTGTTCTCTAAGCTTCTACTAGTCAATTTGCAAACTATCTTTCCTATACTTGCTTACTGATTAGCAAGACTTGGAAGAAAGATCCCATTCACTGACTCCTACCTCTAATTATATGAATACAGTTTCACTTCAGCATTACCAGTAATGACCTTTAGTGTCAATTCTAAAATGCCAACAGGGCACTGAATCAATTCCTAGTGCTTTTGCTCCCTGTGATGAAGCAGGACGTGGAGGAGGGGTCTGCAGATCCTTCAGAGGGCCACTGGTTTAGGGAATGAAGGCTGGTGACAGTGGTCTGACCACTTTCCTCCACAGATGTGACCTGCATGGGTGCCAGGCCCAAACCATGGGCTCAGGAGGAGCAAAGTAGAAGAGACAGCCTATCCCTGATGGAAGGCAGTCAGCTGAGAATGCTGAATGCCATGGAAACTGAGGCAGGTGGCAGCCTCCAGGGAAGCTTCCACACCCCTCAAAGACCAGTAAGACCCACTGATATGTCAAGGAACAGGTCCCAGGTCCCTTCTACTGCAGAGATCAGTTCCAATTCTGAGACACCTACCAACCCAAGCAGACAAGGCTTTGCAGAAGGCCCACCAAGTGTGGCTCTAGCTAAGACAAATACATAAATTAAATAACTGGCTCTCCCTAAGGCGCAATTATGCAGTCCTAAGGGAGCTACAAATCATCTGCACCCACAGAGCTTGATTGAGAAGGAACCCAGGCCCATCCCAGGGCCAGGAGTACCTGGGAACATCATAGACAAAGGAAGATAAGAAATTAGACGTGAAGCCGGACCTCAGCTGGCTAGCTGGGGGCACATTGCTTGCTTCTCTGAGCCTCAATTCCTTTACCTATAAAACTGGGATTTTTTATTAAGTGCATTAGCATAGGTAAAATGTCTCGAATATGAAAGGAAATTAGTAAGTGTTATTTTCTTTCTTTCCTTCCCCCCACCCTAAAGCAGAGATAAGTTAGAAAGAGATAGGGTCAAAAAAAACCAATTTCAATCCTAGCTCCCCACTTTTGACCAATGTGAGTTTAATCCCTTTCTCAAGTCTTTTCCTACCAGTAAAATGGGAATGGGAATGTCCAGAGCAGATGACAGCAGTTGACAGACTTGGATGTTCTTTACCCACTGAAAAGTGTCATGAAAAATTAGAGGAGACTAGTTTTTGCAAAACAGAGAAGGGTGTCTCTAGTACCCCGTGGAGGATTCGGGTGCAGTGTGGCTGTGTGGGTGGGGCACTCCATGGTAATTAGCACCCAATTCCCATCATTAGAACTGGCCCAGCAGGCAGCCTGGTCTGGAAAGGGGCCCTCTGCCTGCTGAAGCTAATGATGATGTTCTGAGTTAACCTTCCCCAGGGGTGTTCTCCATCACCAGGCAGCTAGGAGATGAGCTATTTTCTGGCATGGCTCTGCCTCTCACAGCTGGGCAGCTGCCTCTGGGCTGGAACACAAGACTCTTCTACAGTGTGGTTTTCCCCCACTGCAGGAAAAAATTTCTTATTTTCCAAGAAAATAGGATCAGAGGATTCAGATACACTCCCTGACTCAGAAAAATTAACTGCCGACGACATGTTCCTGGCTCCCTGGGTGCCCGCTGTTCCCGAGCAGAGGCCACCTCTCCCCATCCCTTTCCTTGCACTGCAAGACACTTGAGCTCCCGTAACCACTCCCCCAGAACTGACCATACTGGGGTGTTGAAATTTCCTCTTCCCTACAAGTCTGTTAGCTCCTTGCAAGCTGACTGCATCTTATTCACATTTTTGTCTCCCTGCCTGACTCAATACAGGCACTCAGCCAAAGCAGATCTATACAGATCTAAGGGCCTAGAGCTGCAAGAACTACTTCAGGGGTGAGGAGAGCAGCGAAGTTTGGGACCCTACAAAGCAAAAGGACCTACCAACACACTGGGCACTTGGGCCAACAACACCATTTGACCAAGGTGGGTATGCCATCCCTTGGTGAGGGCAAAAGCCCTGCTTCTGCCAAGAGACTCCTAAATTTTGAATTCTTCTACCTATCATGACCAAATTTTTAAATCATAATGGAAAATGGAAATTAAATGTAAATACCTTATTGTGGCCCATGGAAGGAATCCAGTTTATTGAAATGAATGTAGTCGGGAGAAAGCCACAGAGCTCGGTAGATAAAACCCAGCACCAGTCACTATGCCAGGAAAAGGCTTCTTGGGGTGGGGGGGGGGGGAGGAAGCAGAAAACTGCATTGTGCTTTGGACAGGATCTGAGGAATGATCTAAATGGGTTTGCTTTATAAGTCAGTGCTGCAGCTGGTTCAGGGCCCAGGGCAGCCCTGTAGCCCAGCCCCACATCACTAGCCGCAGCTTCACTGGGACCCTCTTCTCCATGTCTCAGCCTCTGCAGAGAAAATAAATTTGCTTTCTCATCTTCCTCAGATCTTTTCTTGGTTGGCCATCCATGTTAGTTTGACCTCTAAAGGCCAGAGAACTGGGCACCAGGAGACCTGGGCTCCATTTGGAACTCAGACACGACGCCATCTTGGGCAAAGCCTCACTCCACAGGCATGGAATGGGGAATCTTCTGGTGGTGTTTTCAATGTGTTCCAAGGATTCTTGGAGCCCCTGGAAGCCCTTGGAAGCCAGGTGGTTTCAAGTCTTGTATCAGTCCACCTCACTCACCTGCCCCCAGGACTTTACCTCTGGGTACTGGGAACAAACACTTTCTTATGGGTTTTAAAATACTGGAGCTCATGGCATATTTTTGTCTCAAAAAAATCAAGTGTGGAGCATGGACTGGATCATCTCTATGAATCTTTCTGGCTCTTCTTCCCCGGTCTGGATGCCTCAATGGAACTGGATGGCAAAGCTGGTGGGCTCCGTGCATAGACATGTTGTGGGAGGAGTGGACTCTCCCTGTTCAGTGAGAGCATGTGAGAACATTTCCCCAGGGATCCAGACAGCTGGAACCAGGAAGACACGGAGCCTCCCACTGCACCCTCGCATTGTACCTGTGTGTCCTCCAGCACTTGCTCTGGCCCCTCTTACTAATGAGAAATGCCTCCCTGGAAGGTCTGCCACTGAAGCTTTGGCACTTAAGAGGGCCTCCCTGGGTGCACAACCCCTTCCCTCCTCCTGGAAGGTGAACATTGGCGTGCTTCTTCTAAGAAACAGCCTCCCTTTGTTCCAAATTCTGTTTGGGGGTTATTTCTTCACAGAGTCTTAATTGGAAAGAAAAAATTTATATAATCTTCTCGCACTGTTATTAAAAGCATCCGTAAACCCTGCTGCGAGGAGCTGCAGTTTTCTTAGAAGGGGCTCGGGACCTCCAGAGCCAAGTCATCACTTGATGAGTCTTGAATCATCCAAAGCAAGAAGCTGGGTTCATGAGCCCTCAGGCTCCAGCTTCTCATGGGCATGCCAGTGTCCCTGCTGCTCTGCCTGTGTAGGAGAGGGCAGGGGGACTAAGCCCTCTGCCTCTGACACCCCCGCCCAACATCCTGGGTTGAATGTGAGAACAACCCCTGCCTCAGCCAGTGGGACTCAGCCTGACAAACTTCCTAAAAGGGAAAGTGAGCCTGGTCCTTCCCCCAGAGGGTTTTCCTGGGGGGTGTGCTAGAGATGCTGCCACCCCACTAGCAGGCTTGGCCAGGGGTGACTGGTACCTGGGATCCCGACCATTGTATAGGCATGCCTCACCCTTCTATGTGAGTCCATCTGTTCCCTACTCAGCCCTGCTTTGCTCTAGGACTGGTACCCCCATTGTTCACCCAGGCCTTCTGCAGAGCAGGGGCCCTCGGTCCCTACAGTAGGTCCCCCTATTATAGCTGCCAGACCTTTCTGCACCAGCTGCCTGCCAGCCTGACCTTCTTCTCAGTTCCTCTGTGCCAAGCTCCCCACCTGCCAAGCTTTTAACCTCCTTCCACTTTCCACAGCCCCTCGGATCCATCTGGTCGGCTTCCCTGCTGCTAAAACCCTCTCTGACAGCTGCCGGGCTGCTCTGCACTGCCCAGGTTCTTGGGCCCCCATGCCTGGGTAGACTTGCTGCCAAGTACGCCTCAGGTTTAGGAGACCTCAGTTCCAAATCTGTGCAGTTCCCGCGATGTCATCAAGCCTACAGCCATGCCTGATTCCCCTGAGGATCAAGGTGCTCTCTCACCACGATGTTTAGCGATGCCATCACATGATAACCAAGAAGTAACTAAACTTGGACAAAGCTATACATGGCAATCAAACACATTTAGCTGTAACAACAACCTTAGACCCAGTTCATCTAGCCCAGTTCATCTACCCCCTCATTTGAAGGTTAAAAAGACAGGATCAGAGAGGGGAACTGATGGTCAGCTGCAACACAGGGGATCAATTATCTACAGAGGTAATAATTTCTCTGGACCAGTGCAGGGATGGAGAGGTGCTAGGTGTGGCCCTGCTTGGAAAGAAGAGCAGGACTGGAAAGTGAACACCAGGGCTCCCCCAGGGCAGGAAATGGAAGGGGTATTTGGTTAATAGTGGGCATCTCTGTCTCCTTTAAGGTGTTAATGGAATATGTGTCTGAAGAGATAATGTGCAGGTTCTGGAAACATTCAGTCCATGTCACTGCCTCCAGCCCTCTCTGGGCTCTGCAACAAACCTGGTTCCATCCTCTTTCCCTTGTACTCAATTCAGCTAACACGGGCCGATGCAATGTCACCGGTGTCCGCCTCAACAAAGGCAAACCAGGTCTAGGTTCCTCAACTCCGCAACATTCACATTTGGGAGAGAAAATGTACTCCTCTCAGCAACCCCAGTTTCCTGCTGGTCCCTAGACCAGTGCTGGGCTCCCCGGGAGGCGAGGTGGGGAGAAGGGCAGGTCAGCCAAAGGGCACCCTTGTGCTTCTGGCCTTTTTGTCATAAGGGCCTCAGGTCTGAGGTGGTGGCCATGCTGGTCTCCTGGGTTGGAGGACAGAGAAGGAAACTGAAGCCTCACATGACAGAGGATCCAGCTCACGCTGCAGCTTGCGCTGAAGAGCTAAATGACACGTAATTCAGTTAAAGGAGAAGGAAGCAAACCTCATCACAACAGTTGAAAACATGAAAACAACAAATAAACAGCTGCTTTGAGCCTGCAACAAGGAAGCCAATTTGATCTTTGCAGAAAGAAAAGTACCATCTTGTGTGTGTGTGTGTTTTGTGTGTGTGTGTGCGTGTGTGTGAGTGTGTCGGGAGGGGCCCCCCCTCTTCAAGAAGCTACAGCTGCAAGCAGTTCTGAGCAAAGCATTAACCAAGTTCTTCGAACAATTTGCTCAATTAGAATTATGCCACTCACAGCATGCAGGTAGGGTCCCAAGTTGCAATCCTAATTGATTACACTCACATATATGTCCCAGTGCCCCACCACACACACACACACACACACACACACACACACACACACACACACACACCTGGTCATAGCAGGGTTATGGGAAAAGTATTTGGACTCTGAGAGTCAATATCCTGGGTTTGAAAATGCAGCCAACATGTCCACTCACCAGCTCTGGGGAACTAAGATAAGTAGATTTTCCCATTCGGTGGGTAGTGGGTATCAACCCATCAGAGTACCACAAAGTACCAATTTCCAATGGAGGTGCAAGGGCTCTCTCCCAAATTAGTAAACCAAAATCTTTGGGGTCCTAGGGATCTGTGTTTTCACAGAAGCCTCTGGGAGTTGTCTCACACAGAGAAGCTGAAGTATTCGGTGACACACTATCTCTACAACTTGGTTAGCTGTTGCTATAATAATTGTGCATAGTGAAAGCAAACCCACAAAACCTCGGTGGCTTCAAACAATACCCATTTGTCCACACAAATCAGCAGGTCAGCAGGGGTGGCTCAGTTCCAAGCGACAGTGTTCAGGTGGGGGCTGTGCTGGTGTGGGGAGCGGTGGGCAAGGGGTCTGATCAGGCAGGCTGAGTGAGCTACAATTACTCTCAGTTACACCAAAGCTGGAAATAGGCAAAAGTTCTCAGAGTCCCTTACGGCCTGGCCTGGACCAGTTTGCTGTCATGTCTACCCCAGTCCAATGCCCAAAGCAAATGACATTGTCAAGTCCAGAATCAAGGATGGACACACCGCCTACAATCTCCAAAGGTATAGATCCAGGGGTGTCACTGTGTGAAATGGGCGGCAACTGATTCTCACACTTTATTTCCTTCATCTACAAAAGACCCTCAGTTCTACCGGCAAAACAGGTACAATATAGTTCTTGCCCCTGCCTGCTTCATGGGGCTGTGGCAAGGATATAACAGTCTCCAAATGATTAAATAGGCCTTCTGAGCCCAGAACCTTTCCTGCAGCACACAATCCCAACATCCCATTCTCAGTGAACATTACAGCCCCACTTCTAACCTCCTTGTCACCCTGGGCAGCAGGAGCATTTGGACCTCACTTGGGGAGCAGATATATCACTCTCAGAGCCAAAGCTCCAGCTCCTTGGTAAAACCCTGTTCAATTCTGAAGAGGTCTGCCTGGTTTCTTAATGTCAGGGGAGGCCCAAACTGATACTGTGGTGTCTTCTCCCTGGTAAGTTCATCATGCCAGGCCAGCAGCATGAGCTCAGCTCCACACTGAGCCAGGCCTTGCCCACAGCCCAAGGGCATGGGCACCCCCACACCTGAATGTGTGTAGCTTAGCCAAAGAGAACCAGGTAGCTGCAACAGGCTCATTGTTCCCTGTCTAGAAAGTCCAGGCATGAAGCCAGATTCTTCTGCAACGAGCACCTGGGACTTGGCATCCTGTATGATTCTGTGGGCACACGGTGGCAGGTGAGTCCCGCTACTTATGGCCAGAGTGTGCCCCAAGGACACTCTCCTACCCTGCCATACTTCACCTTGAAGACGGGACCTGTGCAACCAGAGTTTCCCAAGGCTCTTCTCAGAGCCAGTGCACAGGGCTTCAGGCTGCTAGATAAAACTACTCATCTTTCTAGAATTGAGGTAGATGGAGTGAGGAGAAAGTTTGACACTTTCCCCAATATATGCTGGGGTGGGAGATTTTTGTCAGTCTCATCTAGAACTCCATGAACTTTTTCAATCTCCAGACTTAGGTTTTTTTGACAAACCAAGAAAATGTTCCCATATTATTTCTTTATTTATTGCTCCTCCGTCTGTTCCTTTTTCTCCTTCTGGAACTCCTACTATTTACATGTAGTCTCCACAATCTGTCCTCCAAATATCTTATTTATCTTCAGCATTTCCAACTCCTTATTTTTTGCTCTATATTTGAGAAACTTTTTCCATTTGATCTTCTGAGCCACTAGGAGTTGCCACCTTTTTTTCTTCAATTCAGCTATTGAATTTCCACCCTGAAATGCAGGACTTTTAACTCCAGAAAGTACCCGTGATGCTATGGTTCTGTCCTGTTGGTGCTCTGGTCCTATAGTTAGTGCTGTTGGTTTTCTTCCTGTGCCCTTGTCACTCTGCCCCCTCTGGGGTTCTGAGTGTTTTCTTTCATGCTGAAGGGTCCCCTAAGTGTGTTCCAATTTTCCATTGTTGGCCCACATTACCTTGTGGGCCCTTCCAAGTCATTCCAGTTCCCCAATAGTGGCAACCGAGAACTTCTGTGAGGTCTGATGGGAAGCTACCAGCCCTCCACTGAGACTCCACTTCTACCCCCAGGCAGCTGGGGAGCTTTCTCTCTGCTTCAGGCTGTGGAGGAACTCAGAACTCCTACACCTCCAGCAGCTTCTCTGAATTTAGGGAGACTAGCTGTATCCAACTCTACTCAGAATCTTCCTGAAAGTATCTAATATTCATCTCAAATGAACTGTCCAAAACAGAACTCTGGGGTTTTTCTTAAAATTTGATTCTCCACCACTATTCCCCTGTTTCTTTGATCCACAGATCTAGGAGTTTCCTTGATTAGACAATTTCCTCTGTCGTGTATATTAAAACCCATCAAGTCTTCTTGATTATCCCAGGTCGAATGAGCACATTTTCCTATCAAGATATTTCTTTTATATCTACAGCATCGGATTTTCTTTGTGAGACTGTATAATCTTAGAATTTTACATCCTGCTTCTGATTTTGTTTAGGCATTCATGCATTCAAAAAAAATTTATTAAGTACCTACTGCATGCCAGGCCCTGGGGTAGGTGGTTGGAAAGTAATGTCGAACAAAGCATCCTTAAGATGCCATTGTAGACAGTGGAGAAACAAACACATAGACAGCAATTCTGCACAGAGGTCTACGTGATGTCTATCAAGGAAAGAGCACTGTGGGATTGGGAAGGAGGGGGTCTGTTTTCCTTGACACATGGTAAGGAATCCAATTGGTCCTTTCTTCCCTTCACCTTCAATCTCTTCCTATCCTACAAGAATTCCTTACATTCTTCCTATCTCATCAGTAGCTTCCCTCCCTGTCTTTACTGTCACTGTCTTCCTGTCACAAATCTCTCCTGCTCTATCCTCTCTTCCCAGGCAGGAGCTACCAAACCCAGCTATTCTTAATCCTATGGGGCATCACAGAGAGGACCACCCTTTCTGTGCTTCTACCTCTGCAGCAACTGGGAGACCACCTTTTATCACCTTCTCTTCTTGTTCCTCCTGCATCCAGTTTCTGAAGGCAGCAGAGTTTAAGAAAATAAGATCCTAGCAAACTTTAATTCCACTATTCTCAGGTCAGCCAGCTCTATGGTTTTAAGCAAATGTCTGGACCATCCTGGGCCTCAGTTTTCTCATTTATAAAATTTAAAAAAAAAACAAAACATTAGGCAAGATCTCTGTTGGAGGCGATATCCTCTAGATTTAACAATCTGTGAATTTATAAAATATGATTACTGTGAATTTAATGGAACTTAGGACGTTTATCGTGATGAGTTAAATCAAAAGATGGCTATTATCCTGCCTTTGAACTTCATCTTGTCTTTTACCCATGAGCCTTTGCCAGTCAAAGTGAGCTTGGTAGGTCTGTGGCATCAGCATCACCTTAGTACTTTTCAAGGATCTTGGGCCTTCTGAGTCAGAGTCTAACTTTTAATCAAGTTATAATGGAAATCAGGAGATTCCTAAGTACTAGAAAATTAAAGAGGACTGCCCTAGAAGCAGAATGCAAGGACTTCAAGGAAAGCAGCTATCAATTTCAACAAAATGAACTTTCTAACTTAGGAAAGAAAACAGAAGATGGAAAGGATGTCTTGAAAATCAATAGGATCTCTACCACTGGGTTAAAACAGAAATAAGATAGGGACAAAGGAATAGAGTGTCCCGTAGGGGGTTGGATGAGATGACCCTTGGATCCTTCTATTACTGAGGTATAAGGTTTTAAAATCCTGCCTCTGCCCATTGCCCTGGTCCTTACCCAGGAAGGTGGCAGAGCCAGAAAGCAAACCCCTACTCTACTTAGCTTAATTTTGAGATAACATGACCAAATAGAGATATAATGGTGAAGGCAAGCAGAGAGGGCAGAAAAAAGTGACAGGAACCTGGTCTGGTTGCACATATTTCCTCCTGACCTAGGAATACTTTCTGGGAAACCACTTGGCCTATTGCCGCCTGAACAGCACAAAGACCCTTCTCTCCCTGGTCAAGGGCTTGGATTCTCAATTTAGAAGCTAATTCTCGTTCAAATTAGTCCATCTCACAGATAGAATTAGAAGCTGGGCGATGATTTGGAAAATACAATCAATTTATCCAATTGTTCTTGCATGTCAGCTTCATCCAATAATGAAGAATTTGCTCCTCAGACTCTGGTGCTGACAGGCAGCCATTATCCATGGGGTGAGGTTGATCTGGTAGGACACAGTAGTCAAATGTGTTAAGGGATGCCTTCAGCCCCAGGGGAGGGTAGGCAGCCAGGGCCAGCGGGCATCCAGGGGAGAGACTCGAGATCAGATTTTGGTCAACAAAGAAAATATGACCAGAGCAGGGAGACACCAGACAAAACACCCATCTGTGCCTCAGTTTCCTTATGTGTCGTTGGGGAATGGTAAGATCTACCAGGCCCATCTTGTGGGGTTTTACTTAGGAATAAACAACATAATTTATGTGAAATCTCACTCATTCATTTTTAATGAACATTAATAGCTTCTGATATTGGTTAGACATTTAACACATGCCAAACAGTTTGCCAGGTGAAAGAGA